CGCTGCCTGAACAAATTTTTTGTTGCTGGCATTAGATTAACAAACATATGTCCTGAAGATGTAGATATTTTTCTATAATATTATTTGTTTTTAATATTCTAAGAGCATTTTTATAGTATGCCAAAAATATTATGTAAAGCGAACATATAATATCACAATAGAACATTCCTGTAATATTAAAAAAAATATTACATGACATTGTTATAATATTATAGGAATATAATTTTGATTGAACTTATTTAAATTGAATAATATTCATATAATATTCTAGGAATATTACACGCTTATAGAGTATCCGTATGTCTGTCATCGTCCGGCTAGCTTCTCACGACGCGCAGAAATTGCAGACGCGACATTTTATGTCTTGAAATTACGCGTTGTATGTAACAAAGGATTAATTTATGCGTGTGCGTGCGCGCGCGATTGTCGCCACGTCGCGGCCACACAACAATCTTACGTAAAATAGGGCTGTAATTCCGTGAGAGAAAAAGATGAATGATTAAAGAAAAGCCAAATGAAACATATACATATATAATGCCTGTAATATACGCGCGAGCGTTGTTTTGCATCGCGATAGTTTTCTCGGCGGCGTAGCGAGGCGTTGCTCGTTACGCAAGCTTCTTTCGCTTGGGAAAACTGTCTACCGGAAAACATGTCACGACGATAATCTGTCTTGTCTTCCGCTAATGGGCGCCCCTACACGTTACCGTACGTGCTCGAATACGACCGGCCCGAGTTGCGATCAAATATCGCTGGTTAGAATCCCTGTAAGTGCGTAATATTATTTAATATTAAGTAATATTTTTGGAATATTAATGATTAAAAACAAATTTTTGCGACATTTTTCGCTGAATGTGTACGCGTGTGATATAAATGACTAAGCAAACGAGTTTTAACATTACGATAGAAACAATGACAACTCGAGATTAATCATGACAAGTTTCTAACGATCTCGATTTGTACACAATGATGAGCGACCGACTTGCCGTGGAACGAGAGTTTTTGTCCCGGGAGCCGCGCGTTGTACAGTTAGCAACGCGCGTGAAAGCACGCATTACGCACAAAACGTAAAGCCACGATGGCCGTAATCTTTTCCGAATTAGGTGCTTTTAGAACGTGACGTCCGAGACGTTACACAGGCTCGTACCGAACACGTTTATCTATCCCGGGGAAGTGGGCGACATTTAAGGCAACACGAGCGAACGTACGTCCGCGGGTATCCCTCGATCTCGCTTGAACCGGACAGTCACGTGACGTCACGTTATACTGTATTGTAAATTAAATAGCGAAAGTTAATACCCCGCGGCGCAAATTATTAACGCTGTACGAAGCCAGTCGCTTCTAATTCGCGCTTCCTTATCAACCGTTATCGTATTATCCTTAGTGAGGACCGTGGCGCCAATAAATATACAGGGTGTCCCAAGCGATCTCGGTCCTCGTGATGTGCAAGTAGAACGGGTGAAACTGAGCAGAAAAGTTTTATTCCATTTTGCAAATAATAAAATATAAAACGTTCATTAGCGACTATGATAGTGGTCTAATACGTAAGGTGGGTGACTCAAGAGCCAGAAGTCTCAAGTTTAAGTCCAATAGGGAGAAACGAAATTTTTCCATAAAATTGAATATAACGTGTAATCAAGAAGAATTTCAAGAATTAAAATTACATTGGATCACCTCTTCGAGAAGGAAAGAAAATAAATCAAAACTCTGATTAAAAAAGCTGTCCAGCCACTAGAAGAAATCCGTAATAAAGAAGTTCTAAGATAAGAAAGCTGTCTAGGGATTAGGTATTTCTGATACAGAGAAAAGGTGAGAGAAAAATCAACGGAAAGGAAAATAAATGTTTTCATTTTATTATATCCAACTATTAGCTAATTTTTCTGTTACACCCACTAAGAGAAATGAGCGTTATATTTTTGGCTAGTGGCTACCTAATATTTTTCATCCCATGACTGTGTGCTATTTCTCGTCTAACTATTAGCTAATTTTTCTAGTCAGCCATTAGAAGAAGTGAGCGTTGCATTCCGAGCTAACGGCTAGCTAGTACTACTAGCTAGTAGCGATGTAAAATCTAACTTTTCTATGTCATGACAAAACAATTACTAGATTCAATTTCTACTCGGGTTATTGCGCGTCGAATATATACGAACCTCACTTATGACCAGAGTTGGGTAAATTGATTTTTATTTTTAAATAAGTAAGTTAAGTTGAAGGTGAACTGCCTAAAGAATATTAACTTTATTAAGTTAAAAGTTACCTAAGTAAAAACTAACTTAATTGCAAGTTAAGTTAAAATTAAATTAACTTATTAAAGTTAAAAGAATTGATTATGCAAAGCCATATATATATCCGCGAGGAGAATGACCGAGACATGTCACATACTCCGCCGTGGGCGACTAATTAGACGCGACTTGAAAAAGTTGCCGGAGCGGCATCGTCGTTTAAGTAGGACAAGGTGTCGCGCCCTGTATCGGGCGCGGACTGTGACCTACAGTGGTAAACAGAACCGTTTCCACGTACCTCTTCACGAGAGGTTCCAATGACCAACCGATTACGAGACCTTCCTTTCCACGTGATTTTTATTATTAACACGTGTATAATCGCGATAAACGAAAATAAAAAATGATGAACGAGAAAAAACGATACACGATAGATTTAGTTCGAAGGAGTTCCCGTCCACGAGAAGTTCAAATCAATTCCGAAGTCGTCGTGGAGGGTCCGTATCTCTCCCTCTTTTACAAATTACTTGTAAGATATATCGAAGTTAATTGCTATTCGTGAAGGAAAGTGCGTGACCGATCGATGCATAAGAGGTACTTTTTTCCGCTTCGCTGAGTATCGTAATTGGAAGCCGAAGCTTCGATAATCTTCGAGCTGAGTCACCGGTGAGGTATGTTTTATTTCTGTGAGCGCGTAATATAATTTAATATTAAGTAATATTCCAGGCATATTCTTAGAATATTAGACGCAACATTCTAATAATATTCTGGCAATATTATTTAATATTAAGTAATACTTCTGGAATATTGATAGATAGTTATATGTCCACTCCTAATAATATTTGAAATATAATATCATTTAATGTTATTATAATATTATATATTTTTTTAATATTCCACTCTGTGTGTGTATATAGTACATAGAATTGTAGTTTCTTATTCCAAATATATTGCAATACCAATTGTTTTATCGTATAAGTCGAAAGAATTTTATGTAAAAATACGTTTTATATTAAAAGAAATATATATTATTGATCTTTTGAAATATTGATTTTATGTGGACCTCATAAACATTCTGGCATAATATTTTACATATGTTTTTAAACTGTTATTCGATAATATAATATTATATTTTTAAATATTAAAATTATGATATGGAAACGTTATTTTTAATATTTCGGTCAAATATTGCCAACGGCAACATTGTATGCAACATTAAGAATTACATAATTGGAAGTGTTATATGTTATAAAATATTACTTGTAATAACTAATTAACGATTTCTTGCTTACCGGGGAAAGTTCGATCAGACCAGTTCACCGCGTTAGATTTGCCGGCGAATGGGATCCACCGCTCTCGAGTCGCTCTCTCGAAGAGAAGACACGCATATAGTGCATAGTAATGGCCAAGCCTACGCCCATCTTACGTGGAATTAAATACCGTTATATTATTTATACGTGCAGTTATACAATTTGCCTACGTGCGAACCATGTTACTGACTGACAACCACCGCCGGACGACCGCCATTCTTAACAGTATCGCGCGATCGATCTTACCCAGTGTTTGCCGGTATCTAGATAAAATTATCGAAATAATCATCCAGATGAATAAATAAATCATAATTATCTAGATATATTATCTCGATCCTTATCTATTTTAATAAATGTAAAATATATTCATCTTCATCTTCATCTTAGATAATAAAAGACATAATCTCATATAAAAGTTTTCTGAAATGATGTTATGTTCCGTATTTTGAACTTACTTTTCGATAAAATGAATGAAATAATATGGGCCTATGTGGTAAGCCCGTATCAGACTAGGAATTGAAGATTAGATTTCAAGGAATTAACAAATTTCGGTTTTGTTAAAATGTTATTCTGAAAACTGAGTTATATAATATTTTAATATTATAGGAATGTCCTATTGATGTTAAATGTCCACTTCACATAATATTTTTGGCATATTATAAAAATGTTCTAAGAATATTAAAAAAATAAAAAAATAAAAATAATATAGAAAAACGTATATATATATAATTTTTTTAGTGTAAATATATATTTACATAAAATTCTTCCGATTTTACTTATGTAATAAAATAATTGTTATTACGATACATTTGAAATAAAAAACTACACTTATAAATATTATATATACACAGAGTGGAATATTAAAAGAATATATAATATTATAATAATATTAAATAATATTATTTATTAAATATTATCAGGAGTGGACATATAACCATCTAATAATATTAGAATTATTACTTAATATTAAATTATGTTACGCATTTATAGAGTAGATCTTAAGAAGAGTGATTACACTCGAATGTGAGCAGAATATTCGACTGTGATTGGTCAGTTATTTTCCTCACATTCGATTATGATTGGTCAATTTCTTAATGCCCGTATTAGACTACGGATTAGGATTAAGATTGGATTGCAATTTAACCAATCAGAGCAAAGTTCACTAAACTCAAGTTTAGTGAATCTTGCTCTGATTGGCCGAATTTCAATTCAATCAGATCTAGACTTAATTCTTAGAGCTTTAATTCTCATTGTGGAGCCCTCAGTTGCTAGTCGATTGCAGCTCTCGTTGCGACAGCCAATCAGAAACGTTGATAGCACCACTCGCGCTTCTGGTTGGCTGTCGCAGCGAGAGTCGCGCCTGCTTGCAACTGATATAAGAATAACCTTTATGTTCAGATGGCGTTACAGTCGTCCGTGGAACAAACGCCGCAAGATTGTACATCTCGCATCGTCGAGTTCCGCGGTCGTACGTGTGTTTTGTTGGTGCCTCGCCGAAGGTGTCACGCAGTCCTGCTTCATACGTGAATCAAAATGGCATCCGCGGAACAGGTCGGCCTCAACAAAACGTGGGAATTATCGCTTTACGAGCTACACCGGACCCCTCAGGACGTCATCACCGACAACACGGAGATCGCTGTCAGTCCGCGCAGTCTGCACAGCGAACTGATGTGTCCCATTTGTCTGGACATGCTGAAGAAGACTATGACGACGAAGGAGTGCCTGCACCGTTTCTGCTCGGACTGCATTATCACGGCTTTACGGAGCGGTAACAAAGTAGGTGCTCGAGACGACTCACCTTCCCATCGTCGGGGAAACTTGCTTCGACGTCGTGCGCGAAACCGCCACCGTGTCGTTCCTCTCAACGAAGATGCAGTTTCATTTAAACGGGGTCTGCAGTGAGAATTTAAGGCGTAAGATTTAAGAAATTGACCAGTCATAATTGATCTTTCTCTCACAATTCGACTGTGATTGGTCAATTTCTCAAGGCTTCGAGCTTAAAGCATTTATTGCAGACTGGGACTTGTGCGTTTCACACACATGGCCTATCAATCATACGCCAATCTTGTGATGTTTGTGATTCAGCTTCGTCACGAGCTTGCTATTGTCTTGATACATATTTCTCTTCTCATTCTTTATTATGTCATCTTTACGTAGTATCGGTAAAAAGGAATACTCGAAGCTTCAGCGCTGTGCAATTGCGATGCTTGTTTCGGCTTCCCGGTTGCAGCTACATTTCTTAGCTGTTTTTATGTACCCGAATTGGCTGTATTAGTTTGTTAAACAAAGCTGTGTTGTGATGTTCACTGCCAATATTGGAAATCCATAGTTCACGTTATGTGTTCAGCAAACATCGACTAACGTTAACGTAACGCCAATATTATAGTTTCCCAGTCGACAATGTAAGTGCAATATAATGTGTGCGTTATGTAACAGTTATATTATTAAGGGGGAAATTGTAACATTGATGTTATGTTAGGTGACGTTTGTTGGGTAATGTGAACTATAGATTTTCAGTATTTTTAGGCAGTAAATATCAGAACCAATCAGCCAATTCACCGACAGGAAACAAATCTAAAACACGCGATTGTTATTCAAAAACAAGCATTGTACTGAATGTTTTTTTTCAAATATCGCTTTTTATTAATACTATATAAAGATAACATAATATGGGATAAAAAGAAAATTGTGTAACAAAATTATTCTAGATTCATGATAGACTGAGTTGTATCATGAGATTTATATATATATATATATTTCTTTATTTATTTATTTATTTATTTATTTATATAGATTTGCAGTACTAGTAATGAATACCAGAGAATACAGAATAACGCAACCAGTTCAGGAATGGAAGACAAATCTTTCGCAAAATGTTTCTAATATTTCATCAATACCATATCAGTTTGCTTTATCAAGAAGAGAATATCGCATTGATATCATATTAAGTTGCTTTTCACCCTCACGAAAGGAATTGAAATATTCACGAAACACGGAAGACATTGAACAAAAAGCGCAGTTAGGAAGGCCAAACAAACATTTAATAAGATATCTACGATACTGTTCGCAGGAGTGTCCTACGTGCAGGAAGAAACTGGTCTCCAAACGTTCCCTCAGGCCGGATCCGAATTTCGACTTGTTAATTTCCAAGATCTATCCGAGCCGGGACGAGTACGAGGCGCATCAGGAGCGAGTCCTCGCCAAACTGAACAAGTCGCACTCGCAGGCCGCGCTCGTAAACTCCATCACGGAAGGCATCAAACTGCAGAGCCAGAATCGTCCGCAACGTTCCAGGAAAAATGCGAACGAGTCGGAGAACGCGAGTAACGCGACTTCTTACAACAACACGTCCAACACCAGCTGTCCCACCACGCCGAACGCGTCTGCGAACGCGGCGAATCAGAGCGATTCTTCGCAGAGCACCGGCCCGTTGAACAGCGGAGCTATCTCCAGCAGTTCGCAAAATGCCAACAGCATCTCCCAACCTGCGAGCAGCCCGGCCGTTTCCGGTGAGATATCGTAATCGTGCGCTTTGAAGTTCGCGATAATCAATGTTTGCCTTAGAAGGTTTTACGTTCGTCTAGAAGATGAGATGAAAATGCAAAAAATTCATCTTAGATGAGATGACGATGATTTCGCGTTTATTTATCTAGATGAAAAATCGTAATCGTTCGCTTTGAAGTTCGCGATAATCAATGTTTGCCTTAGAAGGTTTTACGTTCGTCTAGAAGATGAGATGAAAATGCGAAAAATTCATCTTAGATGAGATGAAGATGATTTTGCGTTTGATTTATCTAGATAAAAGATAGGCAGCATTACTTATGTAGATAATTTTTTAGGTGATATTGTTTTCATGAGCAATTTTATAAAAATTTATAATAATAATTACGCGGATCATATAAAATTGCACGGCGGTTAAGTAATTCATCAACGTTTATAATTTTATCTATAGATAACGGCAAACTAGCAATAATTGTTGTTTTTCGTGCACCGATGTAACTGTATTCATATTACATATTTTACCACAGGGACGACATCCAGAAATTCGACCACGCCATCGCCGAACCCTGCCAATCAGATCCCGAAGCCGCCGAAACGGCAGAAGAGCCTCCAGAATTCGGAAAACGACTCCTCCAGCGCCGAGGCCGAGACTGGTGGCGGTGATTCCATGGTCGATACGGAGGGCGAAGGGCCCAGCGAGCCTCTCATGCTGAACGAGATCGAGCTTGTGTTCAAGCCGCATCCCACAGAGATGGCCGGTGACAATTCTCTCATAAAAGCGTTGAAGGAGAACAGTATTCGCTACATAAAGACCACGGCAAACGCCACAGGTGAGATATCTTCATGAATCGTATAGACTGCGGATACGTGCGATACAATATCGATATGGCTAATATCGATACTTGGTGGCCGATATGGTAAACATCGACACCTCGTGGCTAATGTATCGATACTTCGTCCACCGATATTTTCATGAATTGATACTAAACTCCAGAATATCGACTATGTATCGATCGATCGGTACACAAGGCTTTACAGAAACGCCTGAAGCCTGAATATATTCAATGAGTGACTGAGTGAGAGAGTGAGAGAGAGGAACTATATCGATGCCATTGGCTATATTGGCTTTATTGACTATGGGCCACTTTTACTAAGTCCAGGCTGATCTAACTGTTGCAGTAATTCGCAGGTTCACCAACTTGCCAGTCACCGAAATTCCCAAATTTCTAAATGGATAAGCTAGAAATTTCGGTGACCAGCAAGTTGGTGAACGGTGCGAATTACTGCAACGGTTAGACGACGAACCCGGACCCGATGAAAGTGGCTCTGAAAATCGAAGCTGAATTCGCTGTGTTCACGTAGTGTTCCAACTGTTTCAACACGTTCATTGCTAGTGCTGAAAATTGGAATTTCGTGTGGTGGCCAAATTTTTTTTATTCTTTTATTATTACATATCGATATTTTGTTCTACTATATGTATCGAAACGACACATCGATACCCTCCTATCGTTATAATACACCGATACTGTCTTATCAATACGACATACTGATACTTTCCCACCCGATACGATATATTGAAAACTTTCCCACCGATACCGATACGTCGGTCTTCTAATCGATACGACACGCCGATACTTTTCTATAGATATGATAATACCTAGTGTAGACACGGATGAAGACGCGAGGGAGGCGCGATTTCGTTCGAGACGAAGCTTGAGAAAGTCCGTTTACTTCTTCCAGTGGACCACTTGAGTAAATACCTGGCGATGCGGCTGACGTTGGACCTGGACACGGAATTGTCCGAATCCGACAGGCTGTTGAATTTCTGCATCTACATCGCGCCCTCGCCCGGCCAGCTCGTGGTGTTGAGCGGCTCACAGACGTTGCGGCAGGTGAACGACAGATTCTGGCGCGTCAATCGACCCTTGGAAATGTTCTACTCGTGGAAGAAGACCTAGGGAAGGCCTCGGAAGTATCAGTCGGACGGGAATTAATCGCGCTCCCCGGAAACGCGATCGAATCTTGCCACCTGCTTACGCGAAGTGCAGTAAAACGCGTGCCGATACGTTGAGGCCGCGTATGTCAGCGATGTATCGTGTTGTACTTTCGCGAACCCTTCACCGATCTGCTTCGACAGACGCGGGGGGAGATGTTCTGTCGTTCATTGTTCATCGTAGAAAACGGTGCGATTCTTACGGTCCTTAGAACTCGTTGCTAGCGACCATTTTTTTCAGCGGACAACGAGATCTCGATCGGATTGTCAGTCGAGGTTGGTGGTGAAACTGAACATTTTCGGGGTCAGTTTAAGCGGCGTTCGTTAAGGGTGTGTCCTGTTACTACCATCCACGATGTAGGGTGCAATATCTCAGAAATGTGATACCTTCTATACGTCTAAGTTAATTTCTTATCGATGTACTCGCAAGATTTTTAGCACACAACGATATTGTTATTATTCATTTTACGGTTACATTGATTTTGATCGCGTTAGTGTATTACGTTACATAACTCTCGTAACAGGAAGCCATCTTCGCCGTGAAACGTGATCGTGGCTCGAAATTTTTCAGAGATCCCACCCAACTACGGGTGATAATCCTGCGATAATCCAGACGTTGCCTTACTGACCGTGCAAGGGGCCATTAAAAAGCACTTCATATCACTGATATAGTCGATAACGCGTGATCGAAAGCTGTAAGCTGACAAGAAGCTCTCGCGAATAACACCGATTCTTTCGTTTCCTTCCGATAAAATACGCTTCATGATGTGTTACATACGATCGCGCCGACTGACATGTTAATTGTAGAGTTGGACGATACGGTATCGATATGAGAGCGTCAACGCATCGATACATAGGGAAATAGGCTTTTTCCCCAGAATGATAAAGTTTTCGCCAATTGCGGGGGGAGGGGGGGGGGAACCCGATTTTTCTGGGAGAAATCCTTATTTCTCATTTGTATCGATACTGTATCGCCCAGCTCCAGTTACTCGATTCGCCGATTATGCGTCGAGGCGACTCGAATTCGCTCGTCTGTGTGTCTCGCGAGAATTTCGGCCGAGTTCGCAGTCGTTAACACTCGTCGACAAATTTTAATCGGCGACGAATAATTTTCGGAGCGCACGATCGTCGCTTAAACTCCGAATGCTTAAAAGGCCGAGAGCGGCCGTTCGAGGCGGCGCTTAAATTAATGAAACCAGCCGCTCGACGGATGTGTATATGAACGAACGGAAGCCTATAATCGAATTGTTATTACCATTTGACATCGTATATTGAGTAATATCTACGGAGATTATGTACATTCGTAATACTGGTATATGTTATATACTCGCGCCTATCCGTACATGTTATTCCACGCCGTTCAATGGTCTCGATATAGTCATTAACTTATTTCAATAATTCTTAATCAATTGCGGACCATTCTATATAGTTTGCGGTGAAGAAGAGTGAATAAATACATGTATTATATATACCGAGTGTTCGATGTTTTGTCTACTTGAGAATAGTAACATACACGAGGGTGGTTTGATAAGTAATTTGGCTAATAGAGGGCGACAGCGACATCTGTGTATGTGATCATAAAGTGTCCTTTCTATGGGTGAATATTCTATGGTCACAAATCATTCTGACAGTAATTTGTTGTTTGGTCAATTTTACAGACTATTAATTTTTACTATAAAGATAAAAATTAACTCATCCAATCTTATGCGTGCATATGCTGCACGCACACGCGTATATTAGAGATTATGTAATATCTTGACGATCGAGGAGATTGAGATCTCCCGAGGTGCTTTCAGATGCTTCGAAATGTTCGACGGGGATGGTTTCGTTGAAAACCGAGGAAATGCATATTGCAAGTCGTTTGCGAAGAAATACGCATGCATCGGCATTATTTCACGAGACTTCGACTTTCTCGATCTCGAGATCATGAGAACCGTAGCGTTCGGGCATTGCAGCGAATGCCGCGCGTGTGCATTTGCATGCTAATTCATTCGGCGAGTTAATAATCGAGTGGATTAACGACGACGATCGAGGGCCGAAGAGGGAGGAGGGGGGAAGCTGAAGGACAAGGTAGATTTTCGCGCTCGGCGACTCGCCAGCAGCATCGCCGAGGAATCGCTATCTATGCCTTATATAGCACGGGTGCAATTAAGAGTTAACTCGCCGGGCGATTGCGAGCCTCCCGATTCGTCGGTGACCGAGAGCTCGCTTTTAATAAAACAGACGCACCCTCTCGCGCAACAACGCGGATACCCGGCATTCACGGCGGGCGGGGAATCTGATTTTCGCATTCGTTAAAGATACATGGGACTTACTCGTCCTTACGTTCCGACGGACGGATTAATCGATAAGCGGCTACGACGGTGCGTCCCCTTGAATTCCCACCCAGGACGAAAACAACAATGCTTACGTCCGCCCTTTTGATAACCTGCCGCGCCGACGATTTGTCTCGCCCGACGACAAATAAATACGTCAAACTTTCCGCATTTCGCTGATTTACGCGTTTGATCCTTTTAGTATACGAGCGTTAACTTTTTGAATTGAAATGGGGAAATGAACAATCTGAATTCCGAACTTGAGACGCAGATATGGGAAAATGATTGTACTGGATGTCCCAAACTGATCTCGGTTCCCGTGGTGTGCGAATGGAACAGGTGAAATTGAGCGGAAAAGTTCTATGCCATTTTGTAAGTAACACGGAATATTCCGAATTGTCGATGATTGAAAATGGGGAATTTATAGACTTCTTTAATTAATAACTCATAAATTAGCATGTTACTTGCAAAACGGTGAGGAACTTTTCTGTTCAGAGTGGCCTAATCCACGAATATATGACAATTGTTGTATCTAACGACAGGCATCGGTATATTGAACTTTGACCCTTGAATCTCGAATTTGTCCTTATGTACAATAGTTGCCATATATTTGTATATTTGACTAGTCGGGACAAAAAAGTGTCTCACCATTTTGCAAATAACACGCAAACTTGTTGAGTTATTAATTAAAGAAGCAGCTATACATGATCATTTTCAATCATTGATAATTCGAAATTTTGCATGTTATTTGTAATATTATTATTAGGATATTTTTCCGCTCAGTTTCATCCGTTCTACTCGCACACCGCGGGAACCGAGATTAGCTTGGGACACCTTGTATATACATACACACGATTCTGCATAATTAACTTTTAACTTGAATAAGTTAATTTATTTCAACTCAACTTTTAATCAGGTTAGTCTATTCGCGTAACTTTCAAATTATTCGAAATTAATTCTACAGACCTTTAAGTTTTAACTTGATTAAAAATAGAAATTAACTCACTCTACTCTGGTAGAGAGAGAGAGAGAGAGAGAGAGAGAGATTAAACGGAAAAAATTAAAAAAATCACTGGTCGCCGTAATATCGAAATATTTCACTGCACTCTCACTTGTCGTCGCAAATTTCTTAAATTTCCCTTGTTTTCGTCTTCTTCGTTACTCTCAAACCGCGCGTGTTTCTTTTCGTCCGACTGTTGGACATCGTCTTCGTGAATTTTACGCGCATTAAATGCAACGTGAGAGACGGTTTCGGAATAATCGAGAAACCTAATGCGAACCGGAAACGCCGCGCATTGTGAATTTCCGCTTGTGTCCGCGGCACTTGGGACGATTAACCGTTTTCGCTCGCACCTTTGCAGTCATTCGAGACTTAATTAATTATTCCAGGAGCGTAATAGTCCGCCAACACTTAATTACATGGCGTAACGTCGCGCGGACTAATGACCGCGGCTCCTAATTAACGCGTCGCCCGGCGATGAATACCGAAATTAATTCTGTCTCGCGGCGGTGCACAACTCGAACAATAAATCTAATCTACGTGCCGTCATAACCGTTAATTACTGTGTTTCTTATTAAAAGAAAAAAAAAATGATAGATTGTATTAGACGGCTTTAATGTTACAAAACGAACACATCTTCTAATTATCTTTGATTAATAATCGCAGCAATCGCCAGGAGCGACAGCGCGGCCCGATGACGGAAAAGTGACGCGGAGGAAGAATTAATTTTCTTCAAGATCGAAAAGGGATACAACTTCACAAAGGTCATCGATATGCTTCTATCACGTTGGGTGAAATGTATTGTGGTGGATGGAGACTATTTCGATTGACAAGATGCTTATAAAGTGTGTCGAATGATAGTTTAAATTCATAATTTAAAAATGGCCATTTCATCTGCGATAACCTAATAAAACACGTCACGTGCGGTGTATCGATACCTTATTTCGACGTTGTTTATTCGTTCCAGCTCGGAAATATGCTCGAATATGTAAATTATGCTAATAAACGGTAGCCGNGGGGGGGGGGGAGGGGGGGGAGGTGAGGGGACTACAAGCTGGGAAGCGGTGAAGCGGCATTGACGACGCATCGATTGATAAAGTACTCTCGTCGACTGTGAGCTTTGCGCTCAATTTAATCACGACGATTTGTCGCATCGTCGCGCTGTGACGATACATTACGATACATAAAATTGAATGGATAAATAACGGTCGAAAATATCAATGGATGATTGCGGCAGAGCACGCAATGAAAGGACAATAGCGATACAATCGAGTACATTCGTTTACTATATTTACGCTTATTTATGCGATTAAAAATAGTCGGACTTAATGTGAGCGACTATTGTAAAGCAACGGAACGATCAGTGACGATATATCGACCGGTGAGTAAATTTGATTACTATATTTACGTTTGTTTATCAAATTTATTTATAATTTTGTAGGGTGGAACAGGGGACAAAAGGAGAAAGAGAAAGAATAGAATAGGAGAAATCGATCGAAAATCTTTCTGTGATCCAATTAAATTAAAGTGGTATTTAAATTAAAGTAAATTAAATATGAATTAAAGTAAATTAATTAAATTAATTAAGAAATTAAATATGAATAAACCGAAAAATTGGCCATTAATTTCTTTCTCGTTGTTCTTTCTCTTTCTAATCCTCTCTCTCTCTCTCTCTTCCTCATTCTCTTTATTATTTCATTTTAATCATTCTTAAATCCTTATTTCAATCATTATTCTCATTACGTTTATTATCCTTATCTTCCGTCAATGCACCTCGTCTCGAGAGTTCGTGTCAAGTTGAGCGGTAGAATTTGAGAACACTAATGGTATGTCATGAGGCTCCTTGTACCAGAGCGGGTAATCCGGGATCCTTCGACTTCCATTGGGAATTGAGTTTTCCGACAGGAATGGGTCTAGCCTGAAGTTCGGTGGCTCCACCGTCTCCTTCAGGAGAGCCGACACTTGTCGCGCGTAATCTTCAATGTCGCTCGCTCGCTCCAGCCTTTCCAGGGGAAAAGAAGATTTCTTACTCACTTTCCGTAGGAAAAATTCTCGACGAGAGACTTCTCAGCTTTATTTCTTCACAGAGAGACGAAATTTGTCTTACTTGCGCACCATCTGTCGAGTGAATTCCGATCTACGTCTCCTGTCACCGTTGGTCGCTATTGTTCTCTCTGCTCCAAGAAAATTACGCCGACGATTATCGCGACATGTCCTTCCGGCGTTATCCCGAAGATCGTAGAAATTTCCAAAATGCGCCGCCACGTACGTCGATGGTTTTGTCGCGATGTTTTCCGGCCGTTCAGCTGTCAATTTGTACTTTTCCGCCGCTGACAAAACTCTCGAGGACACGCGTTTCGATCTTCCAGTGGAGTGCGTGAAAAGTAAGGTGAAAAAATATCTAACAGTCGAGTGTTGTAATAATCGTGTTATCCTTCTGAGGTAGTTGATTCGAGACGATATTGTTAGAAAAATAATAAATAATTAATTCAGTACAACACACAAAATTCAGTACAACACAAAAAAGCTCGGCAAATCTGTGCTAAATCTATGTAAACATGATTTATGACGTATAGCTTTGACATCATAGCAAGAGAATATCGATCAAAGTTACATAATATTTAAAAACTCACAAAGAAATAATCGTTTTTCGCATTTTAATATATATTACTTCCGATTGAGATTGCCAGTGTTAGCCATATAATTGTGAATATATTATATATATTAATAGACACACGAATGTGCGTTACTAGAAATTTTTTTTATATCCCGCATTTCTATATATTTATTATAGATTTTTAAGGTTTCCAACCATTTATCTTTAAGAAGATACCTAACCAAGAAGCACAAAGGAAAATATCATATGTTTAATATTGCCAAATTTTTAGTTAACTGTTAGTTTAGGTTAACTGTCATATATTTTAACCGTCGTTAGAAATTGTGTACGTGTCAATTTTTAGAAAAATTTGACGGCCAACAATTTTTTTTAGAACATTTCGACAAATTTCTTCTATCATCTCCTCTGTAAATATAAACTGTTGATATTAGAAGCCGTTTTCTCGTGATCTGTGATGCATAAAAATAGCGTTAATTTTGATTTCAATTATCTCAGCTTCGTTCGATCTTTTTCTAATTTTATGTAACGTATAATTTTATCGAATTTTATCTAATTTTATCTAATTTTATCTAATTTTATCTAATGTATGTAGATTGTATTTTAATTAATATGTTGTGAATATTTGAAAGAATTCCTGAGAAGATAAATTTATGAGTTAACTGCCTTATTACTACTCACTCGGCGTAGCTGAGGATATGTAAGGTCGACAAGGACGAACTACTCGATTCGATGGACTTTTTACTATTACGATTCACAGACACTTTCGTACTGGATTTAACCTTGTTTCGTCTTATCATCTTGATGACAAATTACTCGAATAATTCATTCGATGTATTGGAACTACTTGAAAATTTGGACGAATTTCGAAAAGTGTTTACCAAAATTTAACACGAATCATAGAAACAATTTAGCGCTTCCTCTGCCACAAACTGATCGGTCTTATTTTGTTTATCGATCGTATGGTTGACTCTTTCTCTCCCTCTCCCTCTTCCCCTTTTTCTCTCAATATTAATTACAGGCTAACTTATAGAAATACACATTAGATAAATTAGTTTGTTTCAACGGTCATAAAAAAGCATGGTCGTCAATATCTCGAATATATTGAAATAATCGGATTTCTCGAATGTATTGAAATGTCGAAGCCTTGTTTTCCACGATGTTTATTGGTAGTGCCGCGTGCGGTTGGCTTCGTTCCGCTCGGTTGTGGCTGTTATCGCTGTTGTTGGTCGACCGTTCGTCCGAATTACAGATTATGAAATTAATTTATGTACGGGTTTACATTTTTTAATATTATGTTGTTTATGTGTGTCGCGATATTTAAAAAAAAATCTACGAAGAAAAGATGGACCATATCAGATAAGCGTCATTGAAAATATCTCCAAGATGGAGAATTCGGATACTTTGTGTCGTGCTTTTATTATAATACTATTTATTTTATTATTTCTATTATGGATATAAAAGAGAAATGAGGAGGAATGAATGAATGAAAACGAAAAGAAGAGAAAACCGAGATAAAAAGGCAGGAAGGATGTATGAGTGAGTGAGACAACATTGATATGTGTGTGTATATGTGTGTGTGTGTATGTGTTCACCTGTTCCATTTCTGCACACCACGGGAACCGAAATTAACTTGGGACACACTGTATATAATATATATGCATATTTTATTTATGTATATTTTTCTATATTATTATTATTTTATTTTTTCTTTAATATTCTAAGAACATTTTTACAATATGCCAAGAATATTACGTGAAGTGGACATATAACATCAATAGAACATTCCTGTAATATTAAAAAATATCACATAATATTCTTGGAATATTACAGCAATATTATTTTAATATTGAATAATATTCATATAATATTCTAGGAATATTACGCGCACGGAGAGAACAAATTTTGTTAGAACACCAAATGTTTATCAATATGGTGACAGCAAAACAAAATTTCTTTGGACAGCAAAAAAGGCGGTGTCTTTACGTTACCAAGTTAAGCGACTGCCCTGCTCCTTCTCCTCCTTATCACCGTAGTCTCTTCGTTCTCCTCCGCGTAAAAGAGCGCTAGAAGAGCATAATTTATACACAAAAGGCGTATCCGGCAGCGAAAGAAGTCCTTTGTCCCGACGTCTCGTACGGCCAGTGTTTGTCGGCATCTAGATAAAATTATCTAAATAATTATCCAAATGAATAGATCATCTTTATCTTTATCTAGATGTAAGAAATACAAATTATATTCATCTGCGTCTTAGATAAAAAATATGTTATCTCATCTAAAAATTATCTGAAATGATGTTACGTCCATATTTTGAACTCGCTTTTCGATCAAATGAATGAAATAATATGGATCTGTACGTTAAGCCCATATCAGAGCAGAGATTGGAGATTAGATTTCAACAAATCAACAAATTTCAGTTTTGTCCCCTTTGGTCTGTTCTTTTCAGCTGCACTGCTGAACTGGTGCACCTAAAAAGAACAGATCATTTGTTTCAATTGATCAAACCCCTTTAAGTCCGTATCAAACTGTCGACTGTGAGCGAGCAGTCAATGATTATTGATCTTTTTTGTTAGATCTTTAAATTTAGAGCGATTACGTTGACGTATTATTTAACCCTTGTACAATTTTCCGATCTGCGTAAATTTTTATTATCAATTTTTATCAATTCTCTCATGAAAACAATATCATCTAGAAAAATTATCTATAAGTAGCGATAAGTAGCGATAAGTTATCGATAAGTAGCGCTATTATCTCATCTTCCACCTAGACGAATTAAAAGCAAAATCATCCTCATCTCACCTAAGACGGATTTCTCGGATTTTCATCTCATCGTCATCTAGATGAATTTGAAATCATCTAAGGCGAACGTTGCCTGTGGCGCACGGCCCACGTATTTCCCACGCGCCGAGCCGAGAAGTTTTAATTATCCGGCTGGAAGTTGCGCGACGACCGGTATCGCGTTGAAGTTGTACACGACGGGACTTCGGCAGGTGATTAAGCAATCGGTTGATTGCGCGCGATTGACCCTTTGCGAAACTGCGCCGGGAGTTGCGCAGTTTCCCGAGGCAGAGCAGCTCCCTTTGATCACCGTGGAATTTCTCGGTCGGAGGGCTTTTTGCGCGGCGGCGGCGGCCGCACCAGCAACGGTAGCTGCATCGGCATCAGCATCAGCAACAGCGATATAGTAGGAGTCGCCTCGAGAGAGGAACGATATCGAGTACACGTTGATTAGAACGCGCGATCGCGCTTGATTTACGATCCTCGGCTGTGCGAGGAAAAGTCCCACCTTCTTCCTTCGAGGAAGTTTATTCGGTAAACTTGTTGTCTCGCGCTATAATCTGGATCGATTAAATTTTTGCTGTGCTTGCCGGTCGAGTTAAGAGCACTTAAACGGAGTAATCGGTAATGGAGGTTAATCGCTTAAATAGATAAACAGCGTTGCTGCGATGGTCGCGATTTACACGGCGCTTCAAATGGACTTCTTCTTGAATATGCTCGATTTGGAGTGGGAAGTTCGGAATTTTAGGAAAAATGAAATTTTCGCGTGTGCTTTCTCGCATGTCTGAAACTATTTAACCCTTAGAAGCACGATGGGAAGTATACCTTCCACTTCTTTTTCTTTCAGATTTTTACTGATAAAATTTTCACCGCTATATTTGGAATGTTTTTGTTTTATTTTTCTAATATCTTAGGGATAGGTGAATGTAAAAAAATCGTCAAAATACACATTCTGTTAACTGCAAAAGTGTTATAAATAACCGAATTAAGAAAAATACCTGTTCTTACAGAGAAAATACATTTTTCCAGCGACTTTTCCTAAATTTGCAGCGAAATTGCAGCAAATCAAGCAATTCTCTTGAAATATGGTATATGAAAGGTTTTCGGATTGCTGATTACGAATCTGGGATCGGAAGTGAAAAATTACAAAGTTCGAAATATTGAATATAAAATAGTAGAACAAGCGTGCAAAAACTCAACGTTTATGCGTGTAAAAGCAACACACTTGGATCTACGGTGTGTTTATTCGTAAATCGTTAGTTCCTTCAAGACTCCCGAGGGATGGACGGTGGTGAGAAAGTACAAACGGACAGAAATTGCAAAAACGACGAAAGCCGCTGGCGGGCCTACGAGAATCGGCTTTTCAAACGAAACTTCGGCCGCCTTCGGCGGTCACCGACGCACTTCGTGCTGCTCCAACTCGCGCGCTCTCGTTGCCCCGCGGCGAGTCAGTGGGAGAGTCAGTCGTCGTCGCGCGTCCGTTCGGTTCACGTCGGCTTCGCGTCGATCTCGAGTGCGACGGCCAACGACTCCCGGCAACTTCACTCGCTCAGCGAGCTCCAAATCAAATCGTGCGTGTTTTCCGCTCCAGTTTTACGCGGAGACGCTGCGAGAAGCATGTGCCGGGAATTTAGGTGAGCTCTCCCGACGCTTCCAATTTGTCCTTCTTTCTTCAGACTCAATGACGATTTCCACCGGCGCATTCAGTCGGTGCGTTTTTCTTTTTTTTTCTTTTTTTTTCTTCACCGAACGAAGAATTTCAACCCGGAAGTCCCCCCCCCCGTCGATTTTGTCCCTTTTTTTTTTCATCTCTCGTTAATTCGCTCACTCACGACGGAAATGCACCGGCGAAACGGAATTTGTCGATGAGATAAAATATACATCGCCGGCAGCTCCCCTCGAATTTGTAATTCTAATGAAAAACGCTGACAAATTAGAAGTGTTCCCAGAATTTCCTCGATTATCGGGGACGCTCGACGTTCCTTGTGTAAACCGGCGACCGAAAGCGAGCGCATGTCAAAGCGTAGGTGTAGAGTCGACGTCACAAATGTCACAAACGTTTCCTGTCGTCGCACCTGTTTCTCCGATTTATCAAATTCACAAGGATATCCGTTTGTTCGATATCAATTGCTGCATATGTAAAACTCGCTCGACAACAATCCGACAATGTCACATTTATATTTGGCAATTGGTTGTTTCCCCCGATATTTATTTTTTCGTTTTTTCATTCGTAGGACAAAATCCTCCCAGATTTCTCTTGTTTCTTTTATCAAGAGCCGATTACAATTTTATCGGAAATATATATATTGCACAGAATAAAAAAACGTATGATGAGAAAAGCTGCGAGAAAGCTTAGAAAAATATGAAAGCCGGGCGAGTTCGAGGCCGATTCGGCTCGTCCAGCTTCATCTCTCGTCCGTTTCGTTTACTCGGCGAGATTTTACGCGGCGTCGTTCGCACGCGGCCGATTCACGTTTGAATTTCGAGGCGAAGCTTCTCGCTCGCTGCGACAGCTTTATCGCCGTGAACGGGATCCCCCCCCCCTCCCTCCCCCGTTTCGTGGGTGCGCGTCGGATATCGGAAAGCCATAAAACGACGACACGAACGCACGATGAAGTAAGTTTACCCCGTTTACGCGCCTCTCCAATATCCGATAAATTTTAATACAGTAATAATTTCGACTCGTATATCCCTTCGTGCGCGCAATATTGACTTTCCGCCCGCCCGTTCCACCCGTCCGTCCGTACGTCCGTACGTTCGCTCGTTCTCCCTCTCAGCCCCGCTCTCGTTTCGCCTCTCGCCCCGGCCGGATTCATTTTTCTCCTTTTCCCCTTAACTTTATTGCGTCTCTCCGCGTCGTCGTTTCTCCTTAAGGCTTTCAGCCTTAGCGAGACGATCGACGAGGAGGAATCGTCGTAGCCGAGGGAAACCCTCCCTCCCGTCGCCGGAGACGTATGTCCCGGGAGACGCGCGAGAGTAAATCTATTACGGCGAATATAAATATATACAGCGTATACAGGACGGCCCACGTGAAGTGTGTTACCACCCGGAAACTCGAGAAATATATTTGCCGTACGGAAAAGTTGCACATGAGAAAGTTTCATATTCGACAGGCTCTTTCCAACTGTGCAAATCAAATTTCACCCTCCTGAACGGGGGAGGCCGGGGGGTATCTTCGTAATTTCACATGGGACCTCCTATAAAATGTTCACACACTCGTATTCTACGGCAGAGAAAAACAGGTGAACATTATCCGGACGGGTAAACTGTTTCTTTGAAAAATGCTTCTGTCAAAAGTTACGGGCGTGAAAATTGTGAGAAGCGGATTGCATTCAAACCAATGATAAAACCGTGAATTAAATAAAAAGGACTTCAGTCTTTTCCGTCTTTTACTTTATCTAATGTTCGAACTGACCATTCACATTTAAACACACGTTATTCTTTTCACACAATTTTGTCTAACTCTAAACACTACGTGGGCCGCCCTGTATATAATATATAATATATATATATATATATATATATATATCGCGCGTATCAAACGGACACGACTCCCGGTGGAGTTTATATTCCCGCACGAAGTCAATATTGGCTTCGAGTCGAGAAGCGGGCGGGACGAGCGAAAGCACGAAGGCGCACGGCGTGCCGATCGAAGTGCTGTTTGCCGTTCGAAGCTTTTCGAATTACGCGCCGTATAAATCATCATTAGACGATCCTATTGCGTCACTCTCGCGGAGAGCACGAGCGAGCGAGCGATCCGGCACTGATCTCTGATCGTATCATCGATCAGCCCGTCACGGCCCGATGATCCGCCTTAAGTAAAACAGGCTGACGCTTAATACGCGCAGTTTGTCGGTTTAATATGGCGAGTTCGAGCGAGTGATTACGCTTCGCCGGTGCAACGTCGAGTAACGGCGCATAAACGGCCTTCTTGTGGCGAAGAGGGGGAAGAGGGGACGGGGGGGGGGAGAGAACGAAGTGAGGAAGACGACGCGAGCGGGCACGCGCGGATACTCGGAACGATCCGAGCGGAAAGCTCAGCCACGGAGGATCCGCCGAGGTAGGACGAGAATACGCGGGTTGAAGTCTCCACCGGGTTGGCTGTGCGATCCGCACGTCCGAAAAGGAAGGGGGAAACTTGAAATCCTGAATATCCTTTCTTCCGCAAGCCTGTAAATCCAAGTGTGTTCTTTCTACGACGTGAACGCGTAAACGCGTTCTTAAAATCGCGTCTGACTATGAAGCCACTTCTATGTATTTCCTCCCGATTTATCCTGAAGTAAAATAATAATAGAAATTCGTGCAGTTTTACCAAACACTCAATCAGTTACTGTTTAGTATCACCGCATTCTCATTAATCGTCACCAATACCGTGTAGGAAATGGACGAAAACTCGATAGTGTTTCGTTCAGTGGCTGAAGCGGTTTTCTCGGTAAAAATATGCTCACAGTTCGCATAGGCAATCGCCCGGTTATCGTCTGGCATTACCGCATTTCACAGATGTGCCGAAACTGCGGAAAAATCGGAAAGAGTGGTAAACATAGTTTGATTAAGTCTTATACTGCACGCACACGCATGGTGAGGATTATATCATATTGGATCGTATTAAATTTATCGTTCGAAGACGATGCTAAAACTACGTAAAGAATGTGTGAACACATGGCGAAACAGCGGAGCAAGGAGTTTGGAGGAAATCCCGAATTTAACGAAACAACGCGTTACAGCAAAAGCGACAAGGTTAGACTCGAAAGTGAGTAAATAACAAATGGGCCGCATATTAATAACACGTATATGATAAATCGTATTGTGACGAGAGCACGTCGGACCATTTTAGAAACGCACTTTAAATTTCTCGTGCAATCGTGGATATAAAGGTTATCCGATTTTTTATAATAAGTTTAGCGACCTAAAAATGATCCAATGAGAAAATAGTTCCTAAGAAATGTGTTCCCTATTGGTTCATTCAGTGGTATTCAGAAACTTGTTGCGAAAAATCAGATAACTTTCGTGTCTACGACCGTGCTACGACTTTTGTCAGCCTTAAAATTGTACAACAAGCAAGCATGCACGCAATATCCATTGTTACCGGCATAAAACTGCCCATTTTATGAGCAATAAACTTGCTTATCGATCAATCGAATAGTTCCTTCGTCCAATTGTTGCTCAGCTGCCGGTCCCGACAGTTTTATTCGTCAGTTACCGGGCAGAAGTTAATATAACCGTTCATTAACTGCTTGAAAAACTGCACGAAATTTCTATCAGGGTAGCTTACATCGTTTAAAACGTTTAATCGCGTTAAGTCAACACCGTTCAATTACGACGTGTCGAGTTGACGCGTCCAATTGTGTTAAGTGACGCGATTTGGAACGGCAAGACACGTAAAAAATGTGTTAGAGGAGCTTCAAGTAAAGGATTTGCAGTGTATCTTTTCTTTTTTTTTTTTGCGCGTGCGTGACAGAACGAACGCGCAGGATCGGACGCGCCCGAAGGGATACCCGGGACGCTCGGACTGAAAAAAGGTTTTCCGATATATCGTTCCGGTGTATCGACCGGTTGTACACAGGCCGGATTACACGAATTCTCCCGAATACATGGCGTGACGTCGCGCCGTTCCGTCCGGCTTCCGTTTAATATTCAACGTGCGGAGAAAAACGCGCTCTATCGACGCGACGCGAGTTTCCAAGAGCCCGTTGTAATTCGGCACACGAAGGCCCCAACCCAAGCAGATATTCATCCAGTTTCTGACTATGAATAACTGGCCATGAATTCTGGTAACCGGCCAGTCTTTCCGGCCAGTTTCCCAGGCTGGAAACTTACAGGGTCTGATCGATGCTTACTCCTCGTTAAAAACTGGGCTGTAAAACCAGTTTCTTATCAGTTTTCAACTAGATTTCGACCAGTTTCACTGCAAATCCTTCAGCTGGAACTCTTTTTTCACACATTTCTCACATACGCCATGCCGTTTGATATCACGTCATTTAACACGATTGGACGTTTTAACGTAATACGTATAAATTTAACGCGTTCATTTAACACGATTAAACGACTTTTAAGTGACGTAAGCTAAATTGGAGAAAAAAAAGTGTAAAAATAACCTCACAGTCGAATGTTTCATTTTGAGACGTTAATGCGTGTGAAAATAACACACTCGGATTTTACAGTGCTCGTCAAAAACCGGAACCGGTAAAGCCAGACAGTTTCTGATCAGTTTTCAACTAGATTTTGACTATCTTCCAACCAGTTTCCAAGCAGTTTCTTGGCTAATTTCTAGGCAATTTTATATTAGTTTCCAATTCTAGTACCTAACCAATTTACAATTTGCCTTGCATCGTTCTTTCTAACGATGTTTATAAATCAGTAAGTATATTTCTTTGCTCCTTCGAGTGCTTTTTTATTATTCATTTTTTTTTTCGTCGGGACGCCCACGAGCTACCAACTCTCTTTCTCCTNCCCCCCCCCCCCTCCTCACTCGTTCTTTCTCTTCCTTTCGCGCGGAACGTCATTTTTCTGCGCGTGGCCAATCGCCGGGTAAGGGCAAAGCTGGTGCGTTAGTCACTCCGGCTCCGCATGAGGGTGAAAAGACCGGGCACCGTCGCGCGAGGGGGAGAAAAATGAGCGGAGAAAGGAAGGAAGG